CTTCTCATGGGTTGTAGTGGTAAAGATTTTTTTTAGGTAAAAATAGTTTATGTTTAAACAAATCTTACTATCTTAAATTACAAATTCTTAAAGTTAATCCTTATTTAATTTCAGCTTGTATTATAAAAACTCACCCAACCGTTTGGATAGTTTGTCTAACTTTTAAACAAACATATGTGCATGTGTATTATTCATTAAAGGTAATAAGTTACAAACTGATGTGTTGATATGATATTAGATCATTGTGCCGTACTGAACGCCAGAGTTGGAGAATGGGGACGTGTTGCTCTTCAGGACTGTAGAGTTCTTTAATTACTCAATTGGTTTATTTAATTAGCCTCGTTGGAGGGTTATAAGCGATAAAACTATAGAAATTCTTACATCGCTGGTTACAATTACTGTTTAGAGCAATGATCTGTGTGAGAAGTATCTTGGTACTCAGTAATGTCTAACTAAAAAAACAAAAGTTGAGTATACAATTTTCGTGTAAGATGAGGATCGGGCATAATCAGGAAGTTGACTGAAGTGTTTCCTACAAAGATCATTAATCATTACTCTTCGAATGATATCTTTGAATCTGACCTATTATATAATATTATAAATTGCTTTGTGAGTATGGACAAAACGGGAGAGGGATGATAAATTGGACGAGCACTGAGAGAACCTAGTAGTGTTGCCGATTTCCATTAGGAGGGAGCAAACAAAGGCCTTTCTAAGGAGGATGGGCCCACGATCGTCGTGAGAACACGGAGCCTTGTCGAGCTGGAGAAAGTGCACAGCCTGGCTCTGTGTGTACTTCGCCGAACTGCGGCTACCGGGTTCCCATCGCTCGCCTCAGGAAACCTAACCCGAAACAACCTGCTTGTTTTGTTGTGGCTTGTGCCTAAGATAGTCATAACATAGCGGGTACAGCACATTCCAGTCGATGGCCAAACACTTATAAAACTGTCAAGGCAATAACGATAATTTTTATTTTCATAAACAGGAGTGCTAAAGTATTGCTTGAAGTTTTTTATTTAGCACTAAATAAAATACTGTCAACGTTTTGAAAAATCCAGGAAATAAATGATTAAAGACAAAAAAATCTCATATAAAAAAGACTAATCAAACAGAGGAGTACATCTCTAGGAGACAGTTCAACACATTTTTACGTTGCCAGGTGCTCCTTTTTCCAGGTTACTGTCTGCAATAATTCGAAGTTCACGAGTTGATATTCCGATTTATAGGGGCTTTTGACTCTGGCATTAATTCCTTACTCTTACCTCTGACCCAAGAAAATTCCGTATAGCCTAAAAGGCGAGGAAGAAAAGAAAAGGAAAAAAGAAAGTATGAGTATGTTTGCAATATGCTCCCTATTATTTTAACAGCACTAACGAGATATTGCATGTATACTGTCGATGTGCTGAGTTATCGTTAATTAGGATATCTGATTTTGTGATATTCCTTCCTGATGATGCCTACATTGTTGAAACTTTGAATAATATTCCGCGGTATAGACCTCCTTTTATCAAATTATTAACACTTGTGTCAAACTTCGAGATTCGCATAATTTTATTTTGAACCACGGACCCTCTACGAACCTATATATATAAATCTACGAAACCTCGCAGGAATAAGGCATTTTGTTCGTACATTAGTCAATTTAATGATGTACTTTTTTTATTTTTTATTAGAAATATAATAATTTGTTACGTGGACAATACTTATAGTGAGATATGAACACATTCACTCCATATATACAGAAATATAAAATTAACAAAAGTAAAATAATAACTAAATAATAATCAAACTACTATGTTCAGTAAAAAATAAAATAACCTAAAGATAAGTAAATAAGTAAAAAACATAAAAACTCAGTCATACCTGCATACAATTGATGTACTAAAGCTCATGAATGACAATGTGCTTTCCACTTCAATCGTACAATAACTTAATCACGAAATCGAGTAAACAGGTGGCCTACTAAAATATTGGGTCGCTTGGCCTATATAACCTCATAATTTTGAAATTCTAAGGATGGAAGTCGCTCCAAACGGTTCAATATTTTTCTAGTCCACATTTTTTCTTGACTTTGTGGATCAAACTATCTTACGATTCACTCGAAAAGCTAATGGATCTTCATGAGTATCTCATTAAATAAACAAAGTTCACCAATCTCCAGATTGAAAACGCCTCATTTCCGAGAGTTTTCGTAAATGTAAAATGAAAATGTTCACGAAGTTTTAGATGAGTGTTAGTAATTAGAGAAAAGATGTCTGTATCATGGACTACAGTTATTTACTGGTATTTGAGAAATTAGGTACTTTAGTTTGGGATCTTTCAATAATAATCTAGTTATATATTTGTTCACTTATTAATTGAAATCTCACTAGGTAGATTACTTCAGAGGTCTGTATTTATGTAGTCTTATGTTCTCTGTTATGATGATCCAAAAAAGTTAGGTTAGTTTTTAACACCGATTAAGAGACTTTATATAAGAGGATTACCCAGTGATATCCTTAACTTTTACATTTCACTCATCAATATTTATGTTTTTCAACGAATGACAGATTCAAAATGTACACATTATATCGTATACACATGTTGTTTTTATGAAGATCACTTTAACATGACTTCCTCATTATCATTGTTCCCAAAGTAGTTACGCACAATGGGCATCCTGGAATACGATGCCGGTAGGAAGGAATGCCAAAGAGGTCAACGAATCTTCTGAATGCTTTTATTGGCGAACATAGAAGACAAGCCTTTGTCCTCCGTAATATAATTGAAAGGCGAAGAAATAGCTGCGGGGAAGGAGAAAAGGAATGGCGCGAGAGTATTGTACCGCGATGGTACCCGCGTACCTGGGACATTGCAGTGTTGGAAGGGCTGACACATGGGTGTCACCCGGTCACTGATCCTATTGGTCGTATTGGTTCTATTGCTGACCAATCAGAGAGCACCTTGCGCTGCACTGCTCGAACTGGACCGTGAAACCGCTGGCACACTTAGATCTACGTTCATCGGTCTCTGTTACAGAAAGGGACCGACCTTGCCTCTCTCTACGGGTACTTCTAGATTTTTACAATATCATGGAAGAAAGGATTTAAAAAAAAAAAAAAAAAGAAAATCTTCGTCCTGAGAGAATGTACTTGGATATCTGCTTAAAAACTTAGATTGATTTTTAAGGAAATGGTCGTTTACGAATATCTACATAAGTAGCGGACTATAGAGTTTTTGGGAGGGGGATGAGTTTTTTTATAACGATTATTACTCCGAGGAAATGAAAATAAATATGTTGCTTGCTGATGATTTGAAACTTTTTAAAACAGGTCCGATTTTTAGTATCTGAAATATTTTAATCTACATGTTCAACCAACCTTATCATTTGATTTTCAACAATATTTTTCCTTTTCCCCTCACTAACGCGGCGTCGCGTTAAAATACAATTTTGATTTATAGCCTATTATAGAGAGGATAAAATAAACAATTTCCTCCCTTAAGGTATGCATGCCCGATTTATAGTTTCTGAAATATTTTAATCCATATGTAAAAATATTTTAATTAGTCGACTCTAGCCGACTTTACCCGAGCGTTAATGCCGAACGAAATCAATCGAATTCATTCTTCACAAAAAAGTGCAAAACGTGTCTAAAGAGGTTTTCACTTCAATAAACTGAAAACTATAAAACTACAGGAACAATAATGTTTTTATAAATAATTTGGTTTTATATTTTCTTAACAATTGCTAGTTAGTACTTAGGAATATATTATAATAGAAAAAAGAAACATATAATTATTGTTTAAGTGTTTAGCTCAAATCACTCACAGAAACAAATATGGACCAATGAAAAAAAATTATATTTTTTTTAAGGGGAAGGTTTCAGCCCGAAAGTCCCACTCGCTAGTGTGTGGAGGATCTGACCAGATAATTTATAATGCATATATTAAACAAATAATGATGACAAAGACGCATTATCTCGAATCAGTCATTTAGTATTGTTTTTTTAATAACTGTAAAAACTGTAGAAGAAAAAGAAAGAAACTATATAAAATAATGTTTAAGTGGTTTTTGAAAAAAAATATTTAGGTGAAATTTCTAGTCCTTGGTACAGACCCCTTTTTATGGAATTATTAACATCCGCCTGAAAGTTCGTAAATAGTTTAATCTCATTGGGAATGGGGGCGTTTTCAATCTGGAGGGGTGAAAACATTGTATATTTAATTAGGTACTAAAAACTCGTAAATATCCATTTGCTTTCCACCTGAATCGTAACATAATTTAATCACAAAGTCGTGAAAAAATTAGGTCTTCAAAAATATTGAGCCCTTTGGTGTTACATACACCCTAAAATAACGAGGTTTATATAGGACAAACGGCCCTATATTTTTGTACGGCACATTTTTTATCGATTTTGTGATCAAATTATGTTACTATCTAATCAGAAAGCAAATGGGTATTTACGAGTTTTTAGTATCTAATTAAATAGACAAAGTATGCCGACCTCTAGATTGAAAACGTCCCAATTCCAAGAGTTTTCGTAAATAGTTGTAGGTAACGATGAGATGAAACTATTTACGAAGTTTTAGGAGGATGTTGATAATTCGATAAAAATGGGTCTACGGACTATTCTTCCTGAAAAATTTTCTCTGCGTGGATCCGTCAATGATCTGAATTGATGAAACTCGAGAAGAAAAAGAAACAATATCACAAAAATACAGACAGGATATACGTCAGCTCAATTAAGCATACTAAACAGAGATGGTGCAGCACTTCTAAAAACCTCAGCATTGAGATAATTTTATTTTTTTTATCATTTTAAGACTAACGAAGTGAGATGTGATCTTTCAGATCTGCCTTTTTTTTTTTTTACCAGCTTTGACTTGAATGAAACCAATTTAATATAGAACTCTTAAATGGCTGACTGTAGAATAAATTTAGATCTTTAATTGCTAAGAACCCGATGTGAAACAATAATCTAAGCCTCTAGAATATCCTTATTATCCGTTAAGTAGCTGTTTCAGTCGTAGTAAAAGCGGTCCTTCCTCGCTCCTGGACCATCCAGGGTGACAGCCGATCCTTCGCAGGAGTGACCCAGTCCTCTGCTCCATTTAACTGGACAATGAAGGATAGAGAGAATCCTCTCGAGAAAGGAGCGAGAAAGTGTCAACATATTCACTCGTTCCGACGGATTTCGTACGCATCTGGGCTGAAATATTTCCGCTTTTTCCGATGATATCTCCCTGAAAAGGGGTCAGTTTCTCTTAGTGAAAAGTAAAATGACATGGAGTATATTCATATCGATTGTAAGATATCGAAAGGTTTTTCTTCTTCGATACGAAAAGTTAGTAATTAGTTGAAGGTATACTGTAATGTATTATGGACCATGTCGGGGTTAGTAGCTCTAGTGAAGTAAATTAAGATTTCGTTTCCACGTTACTACGACAATAAGCCTTTCTCTTTATTTTAGTTGTAATATTAACCATTGTTTGGAGCAAGTTTCTTTTTCTTCTAGAATTGCGCAACTCGTTCTTACCATTGTTAGTTCCTGATACAATGACCGTGAGACCTCGCAACTCTGGCAGCGCGCGGGGGATGTTTATTCCGAGTTACTCTATACACCTTCTATCCAATTATGTAAGTATGGACATCTGTTCTGTTCACAGATGACTAGTAATTCAAAATAATTGATTTAGGGCAAGTTGCTCCAACTCAGTAAAGCTTAGGTTAAGCGTTATCGAAGATTAAACCATGATTAATCTTATAAAACTTGGCTTAGTCTTAGGTAACGCTTAATCTAAGCTTTACTGAGACGCTTGGAGCAACTGGCCTTAAAGTGCTAAAACAGTTACAGTAAACAACTACATATTCAGATAGTATATGGTTTAGTAGTATATGGTTGGGTAGTCTATTGGGTTAGCTGTTGATGGACGATGGGCAAATCTGCGTTTATGAGACGTTATGTTTTTAATAGCTTGTAGGTGTCTTCTATCGACGAATCTTAGAACCATGAGATTTTTTCAGTAATTTATTTTATTATATTTTTATAATTCTACAATTTAAGTTTACAAATTTTAGAATTGGAAATAAAAACTAAAATTTCTATCAGGGAATATTAAAAATTTTGATAATTATATTCTTGTAAATTGAAAAATCACGGCGCATAATAAGTATTAATCTCTTTTTTTGTCATTGTACATTAATTCGCATCTTTCTGCTGTATTATGACAATCAGCTAATGAAAGGACAAAACAGAAAATTATGACACGTCAGGCATGAAGAAGGAGGGTACCCAGCAACACTTCTTCTGGCTTGATTCAATTACTTCGGTTGATAAACAAAGGAGATCTCTCATCCATCGTCTTTTTAGTTTCCTCATATTCAGAGATATGTCAGCTTTGAAAAATCTTTGTTAAAGAGTCGTTATATGTTGCTCATTTGCTGGTAGGTGGAGAACGTTATGTTTTGTAGGTCACTTATTAAGGTAATTGTGTTATGAGTCGTGATAATTTTGATTAGAAGGTTAGATTTTTTTTTTTTTTTTGGGTCATTTTGGTGATATCGGTGATGAGTATATCCATATGGGTTAAAATATTTGTTTGTATTGAATTATATTTTGTCACTATTAAAGACATTAAAGTAAATAAGTTAGGAAATAGTTAGTTGAAATCCTTTTTCCCCTGAGAATCATTCACCACCACGTGCATGGCTAGCCTTGGAGTTTTAATTTATGTATTTATTTATTTATTTAATGAAAAATGGAAAAAAAGAGATAGATAAAGAGAGAGAAGTGAAAGAAAGGGAAAATAAATGTTAAATAAAAATTAAAAAAAAAAAGGATATACAAAATAAAATAACAATAATAATACACACACACACACACACACACACACACACACATATATATATATATATATATATATATATATATATATATATATATATATATAAAATATATTGTATACTATGCTCATAAATCTTGTTAATCCTATATAATTATATATTATTTTAAAAATTGTATGTAGTGATTAATAAGTATGTTTTTTTTTAGCAACCCAATGTAATTGGGCAGCACCATTTTATGATAATAAAGTGATTCTCTCTCACTAATTCACAGTAAATTTACGAGCACTTATAACCCACTGTAGATTTAAAAGACATGTAAAAATTCGCGGTGTAGTTGATGATTAACTGTACCATTTCTGAGATCAGCGGTATTCTTTCAAAGTACCAGAAACTGCCCTACACTATACGAATGAAACCAATTTGCGTCTCATAGATACAGATTTCTGAGCACAGAATCCTGGAACAGAAAGCTTCCTCCATCAAATGGCCATTCCGTTTAAACTTCATTAGAAAAACGAAAACGTTTAAGACGGATAAAGAGGATGATATATAGATCATCATAATAAAATCATAATTATGATAGTTCCACTCAGGCAATTAAAAGTCAGAACTAATTTATTTTTATATTATGAAAAACATTTTTTTTTTTTTTTTTGTTTTGTTAAATCAAGTCCATCAGAGAAAAATGTAAATAATAAGACTAGCGGTCACTTGTTCTACGGTTGCTTCAAGTTCCTTATCTTCGAACCGGATGAAAGTCGGAGCAAGAACTGGATATAGGGCCATTAACGATAACTGGAGCAGCACTGGCGCCTAGTTACATACGCTGACATGGAAGAAGGAACATTACCACTGATAATTACTCCAAGTAGGTGATGAGTTCAAAATATATAAGTACATTATTTTATTTCACTGTACTTAAACAAAACTGAGTTCCTTAAACTGGATGTCATCTTCAATCAGAAGTCACAACACGTATGAATGAATTCATTGAATGAATGACAGTGTGTTGTACGATTGGCAACTCTCCGCATTGAGTCAGACTGAGGTTACTTGAAATTTAAATCACGGACTCGAAAGCTCCTAACATGTCAAGACAACCAGAATTCAAAGGTTTATAATATTCGTAGAATTTAGTTACATATTTCAAGTTCACAGCTCCGGATAACAAGATTAATTATAGAAGAGATAATGTTAATGCTCATACGTCGGTGAGGCTCAACCTTCGCAGTGGCGTGCAGGTGATAAACTTCTTATCACCAAGGTGAGGAAAGTAATGGAGGCGTTACGTCGAACTAACAAACACTCGGTAATTAATAATTAACAGGTGATTGTGAAACATTTAGCGGAAAAGTAAGGCTGATCGTTCAAGTAACAATAATATCTTTTAGAAATAAAAAGTATAGAGAAATACTTTATTTACAAGTATTGCCTTACTATGCAGAGTTCCGACATACACAGCACACCTATCATTCCGTTTCGGAAATAGCATATATTCCTTATTGGTTTATTATTTTCAATAATGAACCATTATGATCGACCAATAAATTCAAAAACTTAACCCCCTCTCAAAATTTGAGGTTTTACGTTTCAGGATACTTAGAATTCGAAAAACGAATACAATTTTTTTTGTCCGTCCCTCGTCCGCGCATTTTCTCCGAAACTACAGATTTTTTTCAAATTTGGATATAAAATCAGAGGTTATCCGAGGATGATCCTCCTTCATCCACATTACTATCCGCCATTTATTTAAAAATGGAGCCGAAAAACCTGCGTTGCTAAACGAATGTACCAATTTCAATGAAAATTCTCTAAAGTCATTTTCTCGACGCCCTCTAAATTTATCTATATGACATACTTCAACGAAAAGAAGCTGGAAAAAAGTTACGAGGGATGGTAAAATTAAATTCCGAATAACTCAAAAAGTGTATACACTTTTTTGTCAATATTTTGATAAGGTGTTTCAAAAGTATTTAAATTTCTTAAAAAATGAAGGAAGTTTCGTCGAAATCAAAGCACTATTAGTAGAGATATCGCGATTTTAAAATATTTTTGGTTTATTATTTTCAATAATCAACCAAAAAATTAAAAAACTTAACCCCCTATCAAAATTTGAAATTTTACGTTTCAGGATACGTAGAATTCGAAAAACGATTGAAAAATTTTTTATCCGTCCATCGTACGTCGTACAAAATGGTATATGGTTTTTTTTATTGGAATTTCCTATATTTATGGAAGTTTATGGAATTTCCTAAAAACAAAACAAAAACAAAATTGTTAAAATCGGATGATTAAGGGCAAAGATATAGTCTCTAGTTGTTTTTATATGTTCTACTGTAAAGGCTATATCCTTTTTTTTTTTTGTTTTTGAATTCCTAACGTGTTACTGAAGTAATGCTAATTTTTTTAGCATTTTAATAATTATTAAAAAAAATAGTTTAGTAAAATAATTCGTATAACCTTTTATTTATTTTTCTTTGTCACTAGAAAGGTAATGCTACTTCAGATGTATAATTGTTTGGAAATAATAAACCAGTGTGAAATAATTTGCAGCGTTTTTTTTTTCATTCTTCCTCTCTTTTTTCTCCTTTTGTTCTTTCTTTTCTTTTAATAATTTTACTGCCTTCTTAGATCAGACTACGAAACGATCAATTTCTCTACTTCTTTTTCTACCTTTGATCATTCAGTCTACTCATACACGATCACACATTTCCCTTTCCAGTGAACTCATTTCAAAAATTGGAAAATCAAAATAAATAAAAGAACAATCTGATGCTAAAATTACGAGAACACCCATCATATCAACCATTTATTTAGTCTGTTCCAGCATAAATCGTCAGTTTTCTCCTGGATTTCTGCTACCTTCCAATTTCCTCACACAAATCTTCTTGCATCGGCATTCATACAGTCTTGCTTGTGCAAACATGATCTTCTAATTTGTCTGCTTCCATGTAGAAGTGCATTCCTGGAGATCGCATTACATCAATCAATATAAATTTAAAAAAATATATATATATAAACTTATTTATAATGTGAATAATTATATAGCATTGGTATACCACTGAGGACGTGTTCACCCTAATACTCTTAGTTAGAAATAATTCGCTAGGCCTTTTTCAGTTTTGGTCAATACTATAACATCACAAGCGATTTTAACACCTTCAGAAAGGATTAGGCAATCACCTGATAAGAACTAACTTCTAGTTAATTGTTATTTCAGACAGACGGAAGGAGCTGTTACTCGACGAACGAAGGAAAGAGTGTTCTAGGCTCGTGCCCTGAATACACATAGGTCAGGAGCGAAGACTGCTTTCGCTGCTCGTTAAGGAGTCCAGGCAGTTGGCGGTATGGATCTATGAACGGTTGGGAGAGTTAGGACTGATGATAGGATTGACATTAAGATCAATCATGTGTCGTGATAAATTTAAATTAAAGCTCAAAAATAATATGACAAAATACCAGAGCAATGCACGATTTCTCTAGACTTATTCTTTATCTATCAGTATCCTATATATTATCTCTAAAAGGTGTTTTTTTGTCGATACGCCATAACTTCGTCAATTCTTTATCAAATCCAATGATTGGCCACTCATTTTGAAGATATTCTTCTCCTTTACATGCGAAAAATAGTCCTAACCCACGAAATTTCTGGAAAAAAGATTATGAAGGGAAAAAAACGGATTATTCCCAAAAAAAGGAATTATTCCCACGGGCCAACTAGTTATTATTATTATTATTTTTATTTATTTAGAAATATTATAATCTGTCACGTGGACAATAATTATAGTGATACATGAACACATTCAAATCTCAAGTCAAACAGGCTTTATTATGATCATATATACGAGTCTTTTATAATTAATTGGAAGCTAAAAGGGTTTGTCTAGTAAGTGCTGAAGTAGTCGGAAACGTCGAACAGTTTCTTGTCACACCGTGCGGGTGCTAATTTAATTTAAAAAAGAAATAACACTATCCATTTTGAGGAAATGTACTTGCGTATCTACTCGAGCAGCTTGGTAGACTTGGGAAAATGATCCAGATATTTAAAATAGTTGTATTGTCTTCCATCCACGAACGAAATTCAGGACTTTTGGATGTTTACATAGAACGAAATATACTTGCCAGGAGAGCAGTAATTTGTAATGGAACAGCTGGCATAGCTTATGTGATATGCCATGAAACTTTGAGCTCAAAACGTTTCAAAACACTTTCAGAATCTCATTGTATAATACGAGTCATCGAACTTAAAAATCAAAGCCATACCTCCCAAAAATCGTGAAATACTTACAAACGTTTAACCCAAAGACATAACTCCCCATGGCTTTGGCGTAGTTGGGCTAACAAATAACTTTTTTCTTTTTGGGCTTTGGTTATTTCAAAATAATTTATATGCCTCCTTTATCTCCCTAAATGACCTAAATATGGCTGTATGAAACTTCTGATCGGTCGGATTTTCAAACAAAACACTGGATTACATTTCCGATTTCTGAGAACCTTACTAAGTTGAAGAATATTTTTCTCAATATTATTCTTTCCAAAAAACAAGAGAGAAAGAAATTTCTGTAAATTACAAAATGCTTATAAATGATTCCAAAAACGAAGTCTATGAGAAATGTGTCTTATAAACCAGAAAAACAACTTTCAAACTCTTTATAATTCTTGTAGTGGATTCAGACTCAGTGAATGTACATCCCAAAACTGGTTGATTAATTTACTATTTCTAGCAGAAAAGCTAATTCGAAAGTTAGTTAGTTGAAATATATAAATTACATCGTAGAACTGAATAATAGACTATTTGCTGATATTAACATTTGCTACCATATATGCCCGCCATCGAGGTACTTAACTGAAGGTTACATACTTACTTCCAACGAGGTACTTCGCTATTACTCAAGATCGGCCTCAGCCACAATTAGCCTGAGAAGCCTCACTGAGCACACAGTGAAAGTAAATTACCATCGCCTCCACAGGAAGCTCATTTCGGTTTTATAAAAAATATTCATCAGCCGATCCCAAGTGGGCTTTCTCTCTTGTGGGGCGATCCCACCAGGGCAAAGTCCATCTTTTTTGGACAGGTAATTGATTAATTTAGTATAGTGAAGATTTGTATTGCTGACAATGACGCAATAGGTTGATCGAATCAACTCAAAGAAACCCGTAAGATGATAAAGAGGGCCAGTGTTTAGCAGAGTGTGCGAGGTCAGGGGCCGCGGAGTGGAAGGGAGTGCTCGCCTCTTCGCGGCTCACTGGTCTGGGTTCGATTCCACAAAGCGGCGATTTTAATAAACACCCGCCCTGCCAAAGGAACCCCCAAAGAACTGCTCATCCAAAAAGTCCGCAAAATTCTATCTAGTTCGTCCTTCAGCAGTCAGTAGTCGGTTCTTCTGGGTCAGTTGACTTCTATAGTTGATGAAACTGTCTGGATGTAATAAAATGAAAAAAATATTTTAAAAATTCGAAAATGTTTCCTTTATTGGTAATGAAATGAAATGAAAATAGCCTTTATTTGTGCATAAATATTTCAATTTCTATGAAAACAAAACAAAATAAAACCATTTTTTGACATTATTATAATTTATACAAAACTTTTTACTATTCTTGCTTATGCCTTCCTTTAGGAGTAATAGTCTTTAACACTTCCCTGGGTGACTAACCCTACTGGGAAGCGGGATTTCTGACCTTTAACCATTTTTCTTTCCACACATCTCTGTCCCTAGCTGCTCTCCACCAGAGAGGTACTGCCAAAAGCCTAAATGGATCTCTCCATCTCTTCATTTCTCGGCCTCTCGTCCTTTTCCGGTCATATGGAGACCGTTCACTATTTTTGATCATCATTGCATCGCAGGAAATGTCCAGCCCATTCCCATTTGCCTTTTCTTATTTCCGCTAGTGTGTCTTTGAGCCCTGTTTCTTCCTTACTTTCATAATGCTTCTTTCGAAGTTATTTTGCCACACCTTGATCTTCATCTCTTGGGCTTTTGTCAATGACCATGTTTGGGAGCCATAGGTCACCACTGGCATAATACATCTATCGAAAACTAGCCTTTTTAGGTCGATAATTATGTTTCCTTTTGTTGTATACTTCAGAGACCAGAACTTGTTCCAAGAAAATGCTATGCTTCTCTGGTCTTCTTTTGTAACTCTGTCTGAAAAGGAAACTAACTGTCCCAAGTAAACATATAACTCTACGTATTCCAGGGTGAAGTTGTTCATTTTTATTTCTTTCTTTGAACTATTGGTCATTAGTTTCGTCTTATTGTGGTTTGGGTATAAACCAATTTCTTCACAGGCCCCTAGGAGGTGTTTTAGCATTTCTCGTAATTGTCGGAATTGTTGGCAAAAAGTACAATGTCATCTGCAAAACCTAAGTTGCTTAAAATATTGATAATATTTTCACACAAAACCTCTTCCAACCAATATTGAGGAAAAAAAATCAACCTGAAAACACATCTGATTGAGAGATATCAAAGACAACATTAGTGGAGAGCGATTAAGTTGTCACGTAGGGTCCCGGATTATAAGGGGTATTGGTTTGTATTGGTGTGGGGATCACATCCAGCAAATGTTGTTAGATATCTTAAAATACCATAGCTTAAAAGTTTTTGGAAATGGCCTAAAAAGTTTTTAGAATCTTAATAAAATTCATTTTTATTTACACACCTTACATACAAAGTTGCCTGGGATTCAGATTCATAAATATTCACCTCTGACTAATCGCAGACACTTGTCATGATATAATATATTCAATGTTTAGGTAAGGATTTCTAGTTAATAATTTGAGGAGAAATTTTTAAGACGAATTATACAGAGGCGATGAACCGTAGTAACGAAAGTGGTCAAAAGGCCGATCGGGAACGATGCTTTCACTCCTCATTTGCATATACTTTCATCAGCAAATGTCGACAAGGAACAGCGGTGTATTCTTTTACAGGAAATAATATCGGGCATCTCAATTATCCGTGACGGCAAATCAGCGAAGCGGGGCTTAGTAATCAGCAATCATCAGCTTCAATCTATTCTACAATCATTATGATGTAATAGTAATTTATAGTAAAAGATATTATAATATAAAGATGTAATCTTAATCCTTGAGCCTGGGTCGAGCCCGGCAGAGGGAGATCATTTATTTTCATGTTTACATCAGCCATGGATGTAAACACGAGAATGAAAACCTGGTGGATGAGTAATATACTTCAGTAATATGTATTAATATTACTTTTAAAAAAAACACTTATTAAGAAAAATAAATGCTCGTTATACATAATTAGCCACCATCTGATAGACATCTAAAGAAGAATTAGAATAGGAAATTTTTAAATGTTAATAAGGAGGAGTATCATTATATGATAAATTATTAATTTTCTTATATTACAAACGGGATTACAGCTTCGAGGGGCGATCAAATATAAGATCTATAGAGTGTTCTTTAACTTATTTATTGTACATATATATATTATTATTATTATACATAGAGTGTGAATGTAATCTCTGAACACTATTATAAATGTCCCTTGAGACAGATTGTAATATTTTCAATAAACAATAAAAAAAAGTGTGTGCTTTAGACCACACAAACCAAGTGAAAACATCAACAGGAGATTGATAATATAAAAGATAAATTATAAATAATTCCCCATTACAAAGAGGATAAAATGCTTACGAAGAAAACAATTCCCTCGCTTACAGTATGCATGTCCGATTTTTAGTGTCTGAGATATCTTAATCCAAATCTTCAATTAAATTCGTTATCATGTGGTTTTCGACGCTATGTCCTTCTCCTTACGCTTACAGGTCTGATTTTTAGTTTCTGAGGTATTGATATAAATATCTTTCATAAAACTAGTTTTCATTTGGTTTTAGAAACCATTTTTTTCTTTTCGTCTCTCTAACTTGCCGTCGCATTAAGATACAATTTTGAATAATAGCCCATTACAAAGAGGGTGAAATATTGAATAATTCCCTCGTTTACAGTATGCAGATCCGATTTTTAGTTTCTGAAATATTTTAACCCATATCTTCAATTAAACTCATTATTTGGTTTAATGAGACACGGTTATTTTCCTTTTCGCCTCCCTAACTAGGCGTTGCGTTAAGATACAATTTTGAATAATAGCCCATTATTACGAGGATAAAATTCTGAACAATTTCCTCTCTTACAGTATGCTTGTTCGATTTTTAGTTTCTGAGTTATTTTAATCCAAATCTTCAATAAAACTCGTTATTATTTGGTTTTCGACACTATATTTTTCCTTTTCGCCTCCCTAACTTGGCCTCGCGTTAAGATACAATTTTGAATAATTGCCTATTAGAAAGCGGATGTAATACTGAACAATTCCCTGGCTTACAGTATGCAGATCCGATTTTTAGTACTTTAATCCAAATCTTCAATAAAACTCGTTATTATTTGGTTTTTGGCACTGTTTATTCCTTTTCGTATCCCCATTTAGGCGTTGCGTTAAGATACATTTTTGAATAATAGCCCATTACAAAGAGGATGAAATTTTGAACAATTTCTTCGCTTACAGTATGCAGATCCGATTTTTAATTTTTGAGATATTTTAACCCATATCTTCAATTAAACTCGTCATTATTTTGTTTTCGACACTATTTTTTTCCTTTTCGCTTCCCTAGCTTGGCCTCGCGTTAAGATACAATTTTGAATAATTGCCTATTAGAAAGCGGATGAAATACTGAACGATTCCCTGGCTTACAGTATGCAGATCCGATTTTTAGTACTTTAATCCAAATCTTCAATAAAACTCGTTATTATTTGGTTTTCGACACTATATTTTTCCTTTTCGCCTCCCTAACTTGGCCTCGCGTTAAGATACAATTTTGAATAATTGCCTATTAGAAAGCGGATGAAATATTGAACGATTCCCTGGCTTACAGTATGCAGATCCGATTTTTAGTACTTTAATCCAAATCTTCAATAAAACTCGTTATTATTTGGTTTTTGGCACTATTTATTCCTTTTCGTATCCCCATTTTGGCGTTGCGTTAAGATACAATTTTGAATAATAGCCCATTACAAAGAGGATGAAATTTTGAACAATTCCCTTGCTTACAGTATCCATGTCCGGTTTTTAGTTTCTGAGATATCTTAATCCAAATTTTCAATAAAATTCGTTATTATTTGGTTTTCGACACTATTTTTTCCTTTTCGCCTCCTTAACTTGGCGTCGCGTTAAGATACAATTTTAAATAATACTCCATTACAGAGAGTATTATTATTATCCGCTTACAGTATGCAGATCCGATTTTTAGTTTCTGAGATAATTTTTGAAAAAAAAACACTTATATTTGTCGACTTTACCCGAGCGTTACATATCGGAAATGTGACAGCTCAATCTATAATTCATTCTCTACAATAAAATGCAAAACGCACCCAAAGAAGTTTTCACTTCAATAAAACCTAAAATTATTTAATGAATGACGTTTTTGCGACCCATTCTGTATGTTCTTAGGGCTGACATAAATATTGACAAATATTACTCGATCCGTTGACATTTGGAACCATCTTTTTTGAAATCGCCTAATTTTTTTTATGAATTCTATTGTAAGATTTTAAGTTTTGGAATTGGTATTCGTCGCATCTTCCTAAAATTCCCTTGCGTTCGATACCTCATCCATCAAAATCCATCGCTTCTGAGAGCCGGAAAAAGGAATCTATACTACCACATATATTTTGTAGATTAAAAACGATACGCTTTGCTAGATAATGGATTATATAGACATAATCGAATTTGACATTAGATTCTTGAACTCGTGATGAAGACATCGAGTATTAAGTGTGATAATGTCTTTTAATATTGACAACGTTACAGTCTAAAATTCATCGCTCCTGAGTACCGGAAAAGAAGGGATCTTTACTACCGTATTATATATATATATATATTGTTGTGTTAAAAAAGAACACGCTTAGCGAGTTAATCGATTATAAAGTTATAATCGAATTTGACATTCGATTATTGAACTCGTGATGAAGACATCAAGAATTAAGTTCGGTATTGTATTTTCTTATTGACAATGTCACACTCCAACGATCCTAAATACCTGAGTAATTTTCTATGCTCCGATAATTTTCATCAGATCACCGTTGGAGAGTGCACTCTACTTCCAGGGCAACATCTTGATGACGACAGCCCTAACTGGAAGTTATTGCGCAGGCATTGCAAAATACCAATCTTGATCGCTAGTTCAAGAGGTGATCTTCAATCTCCATAGATCTTCAAGGGAGAAGTTATCTGATATTAATCGTGCTTCCATCTCTACTCCAGAGAGGTATAAATCTAAACCCATCAAAAAGTCATCAATAATAAAACCATATCGAGTATTTTGTTTATTGTTGATGGAAGAAGTATCTGTCGATCTCTTTCAATTTACACTTGTTGTATTTCATTAATATTATTTTGCTGCCGTACATCCCCATCACAATAAATAAGAGTTGAAGTGAATTAATCCTGGTTTCCGACAGGAATATTTTAAATTCGTGTACCTTTAACGGTCTTTGAAAACCAAAAAGCCTCCTTACATCCTCCATTCGTTCATTCCTTGTTCTTCCGTTCATTCTTTAAACACTAAATTCCAATCCACAATCCTTTATATTTCTTCTCTTAAAAATCCTTTGTCATTCCTGATGCCTTGTTCTGGAATCCCTTACCCACCTTAATAAGTGAAACCTCATCTCTAAACTTATTTAACCACCATATTATTTCTCTGGTATGTATCTTTATTTGATAGTAATCATAACATAATTAACGGGCAATTTTCGAAGTTCTTAAATGAAGTTTTTGCTATTTTAAGAGTAAATATCTGTCTCTATTTCCTCG